AAAACAAAACTATTTATTTTTCTATCTACAAACAAATTAATATTTCTTATATTCAAGAGCGTAAAAAACACACACCTCAATGATGCAATATTTTTTTTTTTAAATCTGTTCATTTAAATACAGATTTCTATTACGAAATGTATACAGTTAATTAATTTAAAAATGTCAATAGTTCATTTGAGTTAAAGTGGTCACTATACATAGTAAATATTGTTTCTATTAACAAAACAACAAAATCTATGTATATTATTCTAGACATATACATAAAAATGTTTTCTCTAGCCAATAAAAAAAAAATAACAAGAATATTAAATAACTAATAAAACAAGAAGTAATAATAGAAGCGATTGAATTAGAAAAAATCAACTGCCCTACAATTTAAATCATATTAACTGAAATTATTGATTATAAATTAGTTTTTAGTTATTAACTATTAGGCACGCATCAATGCTTTAGATAATGATCAGTTAGAGTTAAAACAAAACATACAGAAATAAACATTCATTTAAATGTTTATTTACAACGAATTAGCTAATTGGAAAAAGGGTGACATTTAGATAAAATTAGGCATTTGTAGGCAAGATTTTTTTAACAATTTAAAATAAACAATGAATATTCAAGCTTTTTATATTAAAAATTAATACACTTGTTATTTTATTAAATATACAATAGTTAAAACTACATAAACTGCAAAAGTAATGTTAAGAGTAGGGACAAAAGTTATTATGGTTACGTATGCGATTAGATAAGCTTTATTACCAAATTTTGTTGGTATATAAAATAACTAAACTAAAATGAACAGTCTCTGGAGCAACTATACATGTACCTTACTAGTAGGTATGCATATACATATATTTTGAAACAATATTTTCAACTATTTAAGAATGTCAACATTTCAAGCTTCAAAATTAAAACGGAAATACAAAAACACAAAGTTTTTGGCAAACTTAAATAAATAGTTTTTATACCTAAGTATATAATAGCCTATAAACAATGACCCTGTAAATATTTACATGAAAAACAACACCTAATAACAAAACTATCAATGCAAAATTAAATGGTAAATGTTCTAATTTTATGGCTTAAAGACAATGACTAATTAACTAAATTTATAAAAGAAATATTTTAATTATTTAAGGTACTTAGGTTATTTTTTTATAAACAAATTTTGGGTATATATACTCTATGATTCATCGTATTTCTGTTTCAAAAATCCCAGTGGTATGTACAAAAAAAAAATATAATAAAAACAATTAAACTGCAACTGATAAGGTGGAAGGTACGCTCGTTATTCAATCATTTCTTATCGATTTTATATGAACGCAAGAAATATTAACGAATCACACATGGCTGTAGATAATTGATAACGAAAAATGTACAACAGTTTAAAAAAAATTTTGGAATTTTGTTTGTTAATGTTAGTGCAATTAATAAATTTTCTCACTTCATTCTACTTAGCACAATTTCGATTTTTTTTAATTAAAAAAGTAAGAAGGAATTGTTGAAAATATTTGTTAATGGTTCAAGAGAACGAAAAAATAATGTTATACACAGAAAAAATTAATACATAACTTGAATGAATTTTGTAATAAATTGAATGAATCGAACATGACTTTTTTTTCCCAAACCATTTTCATTCAGAATATTAAAAGTTCATAAAATGTATGAATTTGTACTTTAAAGATTTTTTTGTTTTTTTTACTCATTTTTTTTTTTTTTTTTGATTTTCATAAAAAATTGGAATAAATATCCGCGTTACCTATTAATATCTTCCATTTTTTAGAAAATAATCACATATTAGCGAATTTTTATGATAAATAAATAAAATGTTGGAAAACAAAATATGAAATAAAAAAACATCAGCATATAGCTAAACATCCATTCTTCAGAAAATGCTGCATGTTACGCGCATATTTCATTGTTTTCAATCTAAAAATCATAAAGAAATAACAAATTTTCCAAAGAAAATTTCAAACATTTTTTAACAAATAGAAAAATATAAAGAAAATTTTTAATATTTCAAGTCAAGGCTTCTAGATTATGTTTAAAAATATAAAAATGAAAAAAATTCATACAATTTAGGAACTTATTCTTAAATATTATTAACTTTAGTCAATGAAAGCAGTTCATAATATTTATGCTGGAACTTTTTTCTGTGTACATTTAAATACAAAGTTCTAAATTATAAATTTTTCATGAAAAATTTTCAAACTAAATCAAAATAAGTTATTTTCGAAAAATTCTATTTAATCTTTCAGTAAAATTAAAAAAAAAAACCCATGAAATTTTTAAAAATATTTTGGATACAAAATTTTATGAATCTTGATGATGTAGGGATTATTTAAACAGCTTTAAACATTTTTTCGAACATAAGTTAGAATTTTCGAAAAATATTTAAGAAATCTCAACACGATTTCAAAGTTTTATTTTAAAAACTTTAAAAAATTTTGGTTTTATTTCAAAAATTTTTAAATTTCAGGGAAATCGCACTACAGTTTACCATTGAGTCATAAATTTTGAGACGTTATATGAAAACTTTTAACCAAAAACAATCTTTAATTTTAAAGTAAAGTTTACCCTACACTATCCGCAAGGAGTACTAGAATTGTCATTTCTCGTATTTTTTTGTTTTAGGAAGTAGAGCAACTAAGAAAACATCCTCTGTTCTTCATTAGTATTCTGGTAGCCCTAGCTTAGCTTCTAGCTAAATGGCCATTAACACTTATTATTAGCAGCTAATTGGTGTCACAAAAAGGTCGAGAGATCCCTCATTTTTAAAGTAAAACTTGCTGTTAACATTGTGAATTTACTAGTCGTCTGCTAGGAAAAGGATTAAAATGAACATTATTAATAAAAACCACCTGGTCACACTAAAGTACTATAAAATAGAACATTTTCTAAATGTCAAAATGAAAATAACTTTCCAATAAGAAAAAAAACAACAACAAAAACAAACATAAACTGAAGTTTGTTGTTTTTAAAAATCAACCCAAAAAATATGCAAAAATGTTGTCTTATAGAATTTTAAACAAGTTCGTTATAAAAATACATTGTTTGTTTTTTTAGGAATATTAATTATTTAAAATTTTTATCTAAGAACAATCGAAAAACACACAAAACAAGCACGCCTTTTTTTATAGCTTCGCAGTAGCAGCGCTTAAAACGCGTAAAGAAAAAAAAAACACACTGCTGCCCAAAAAGATGCCAGACAATTTGTGTAGCATAATTTCTAAATAAAAACAAAAACACTGCACTTTAAATCTCACTTGTTTCTATTTGTCTAAACAGTTTTGATAAAAGTTCGCCAATAAAATTGTAAATATTTGTTAATTATTAGCATTAGAGCTTATCATTTAAACACCTTTTTTATCATAACATTATCTGGCAACTCCCGATTCTATCATTAAAATCACACCACCAACACAAGTTAACAAATTTATAGGTTTTTTTTTAATTTCTTAACACACTTTCAAACATATTCTTCATTCATTCCTTTCAATTTTTACTTTCATTTCTTAATTTGATATGCAAATTTTTAGATTGTTTCACACACGTCCCATATTTTTATTTACCTTAATGCCATTACCGTTCATGGTCACCACTCGTCCATTAGCCTTGAGACCATTTTTTCTTGTGCGTATTTCCTTGTATGCCGGTGCTGCAAATTTTTTCTCATGCAGCTCCCTATCAAATTGGATTTGTTGTTCTATTTCTGCTGCATTATTTGTTAAGGTACTACTACTGGAGCAGCCGCCACTGCCTACTGCTGGTGATGCTGTTAAGCCGTTTTCTGCAAAAGTAGTACCACCGTCAAGGTTTCCCATTTTATTTTTTCAATTTCTGTCTGTCGTCACCACCGCAAACACACACCAAACCAAGCAACAACAATTTTATTAGACACTTTACTCTTAATTAGCAAGAATTCTATTAAACAAGAAATTCTTATCCAAAAAAAAAAAGCCACCAACAAATGACTAAAACTCTATAACGACGGACTAGCCCGACTGAGCAAAAAAAAACTACACACCAGTGCAGACGGAACAAGGTAATATTACTCAAACAGCTGATTATTGTTTTGTTCGTTTTCTGTATATGATAAAACTGTCAGATTTATGTGTTTGTTGTTGTTTAAAATGCAACAAAGCCAATAACAACAGGCGGGCGTTGTCAAATTTTGTTGTAGATTTCGAGGTGTCACTATCCTCTTCGTGTAACATACTTCTGTCAAGTGATGCACTAGTGTTGATAATGTAACAATTTCGTGATTGAGTTTAGCGGGTAGAATAAGAATTTTAGCGATTTCTTACAATAAGTAATAAAATAGGGTTTCTATCATTTCTTTAAAAAGTAAACCTAACTCGTAACAGGGTTCTATAAAAATCGAATTTAAAATTATCGACTTTTTGTCGGAAAGAGTTGAAAAGCCGACTTTTTTGTTTCAACTACAAACAAACAAATAACGTAACTAAACTAACTAAACTAACTAAACTAACTAACTAACTAACTAACTAACTAACTAAACTAACTAAACTAACTAAACTAACTAAACTAACTAAACTAACTAAACTAACTAAACTAACTAAACTAACTAAACTAACTAACTAAACTAACTAACTAACTAACTAACTAACTAACTAACTAACTAACTAACTAACTAACTAACTAACTAACTAACTAACTCCCTCTATCCTAACCTCTCTCTCCATTCGGTTTTTTAGATTTTTTCAATTAATTTAAAAAAATCGCCAAAAATATTTAAAATCGCTAGAATCTGAGAAATTGTCGATAACACGGTAAATGATAATACAGTACATACAAACTCACCTTAGTCGGCAATGCAATTAATTATTTTAAATTATTTTCCAACACTGGAAAAAGCTATTTTACAAATTGTTTACCAACACTGAAAAAGCTCTTATTTGACGTTGTATAACAACTCTGTTCTTTTTTGACATTTCATTATTGCAAAAAAAGGAAAAACAGCTTTTGAGCCGGAAAAAAGGGCTTTTCAAATTTCAAAGTAAATTGCAGAAAGAAAAACATGAATATATTTATTATAATAAAATTAATTTAAATTACACAAAAAATTCTTGGCTTTCCTAGAACAAAAATATAAATCAACCTGTATAAATAAAATAGATACAAAATAAATTTACAAATAAATAAATTTATTGTGAAGCTCAAAAAATATATACACAAACAAAAAGAGAACCCCACTCACTACAGGAAAGAAGAAGCAGATGAAAAAGCACTGCGTACATATTTGAATCATTTACAATTTGGTTTTTGAAGTGCAACCATCATCATTACGCGAAGTCGAAAAAATTGTGTTATTTTCAAACAAAAAGGAGCCGCAATATAAATTTGTAATTTATTTAACAAACATTCGTAATTGAACAAAAAAGTATTATAAAAGTATATTTTTAAAAATAATTTGTGATTAAACAAGAATTATTTGGAAAAATTGTGAAATTCAAAAGAAAAGTTGACACAAGAAAAAAAAAAAAACAAAAAAGAGTCCTCTTAAAGAAGCGTGAGAGATACAATTTGAATAAAGAGAGTTTTTTTTCCAGAGCGAGGTGTGTGTGTGAAAAGTGTGATAAAAACCCCATACGTCACTTTTCGTTGAAAAATAAATTTTCACAACCAATTGGACAAACGAAAGAAAAAACATCCTTTTTCTCTATTCTACAAAAATGGATTTCAATTTTACCGATTTGAAAAAGGAAGCTGCAGCCACAGCTGATGACATCTTCAGTCATTCAAGTGAAGCAGCCAAACAAGTGGGTCAGGATTTGCTAGGAAACCTGGGTGGGGGAGGTGGACGTCAAGATGATAACTCACACACTGAGCAAAGTTTTGGCAACGACCAAAAGGAAATGGATTTTGAACATGTAGATCCACAGACTTTTGTACAACGTATGTCGGCTGGAGCCAAAGAGGCCCAGGAACAATTGGATGCCAAATTTTCACAATCTAAAGATGAGTTGGAAGATTTCTTTGGTCAAACCAGCAATGCAGCCAAGCAAGGTGTGGCTGCTGCCACCAATGATTTCATGAATGCCGAACGCGGTTTTATGAACGCGGCTGGCGACAAGGCCAAGGAAATTGAGAAGAAGGCTGCCCAGGCGGTCGATGATCTTTTCGGTTCACATTTGGGCAGTGGTGATAGTAAGTTTGAGGCCTCTGCTCCGTTGGCTGATAATGTGCAATCTGCCAATAACAATTTCAACAATTTCATGGACGACAATGCTCCCATGACGACATTTGGTAAAACTCCAACGGCCGCTGCCGCTGTTAGCAAAGATTCAGACAACGATTCTCCTTCCATTTCTTATAATCCCTCACCGGTTAAGAAAATACCTGCTACCGATGCTTTAAAAGAACAGGACAATGAGAAATTCATATCCTCCGAAGATCTTTTGGGCGACTTCAAGGAAGAGCGCACCGCTACTCCCGATTCACAGGCTTCCGCTAAACTTCCCACACAAATGAAAGCAGCAGTGACAAACTTACCCACTACCGACCTGGATGTCGAGGACGATGATGAAGACTTTGTTCAAGCTGAAATACCAACTAAACCAGTCGAACAAAAGACTGCTGCGGCTCCTATTCAAGAACCCACACCAGTTCCCGTGGCTAAACCAGCTCCGATTGTACCGGAACCGGTTAAAACTCAGCCACCACCATCACCAGCAACACAGGCGCCAGTAGTTCCAGAAACAAAAACAGAAACACCAACTCCCGTTGTTGTCGACACAAAGCCCAAGACATCTTCGACTGTTACTACAACAAAAACAGCTACGAATGCACAACAACCAAATATTGTATCGGTGGAGGATATTTTCTACAAATATGGTTTGGGTAAGTTTTTTTTGTAATGAATTATTTTTTTTTTTTTTTGATTAAGTTAAATGCCATTTGGTTTACATTGGATATATGAAACATTTTTCTAGCTACAGACCATCATCGAAAAGCACTTTTGATTTCGAAAAGTATATTTTATTTTATTTTTTTTAACAAAATTTGTTTTTAAAAAATTTATGTTCGAATTTTCTAAAATAGTTATGGAAAAATATCTAAAAATTATATTTATTTTGAAAATATTTAATTTTTCTTTTTACGAATTTGAATAATGCTAGAATTGACTTCAAAATATTTTCGAACATTAGGTCGAATTTTCGAAAATTCTTCAAGTAAGCTTGTTTTTTTGAAAATATCTTCATAAAAACATTTAAATTGGAATTTTATGAAATTTTTAAATAATTTTCAAAATTTTTATGTTCGAAATTGTAAAATGTAAGAAATTTGTTTTAAAAGAAAATGGTTTTTAAAGAATCCTTGTAATTTAGATATAATTTTCGAACATTGAAAATGTTCTCGAAATTCTTAAATGAACAAACATTATCACGCCAATTATAAACAATTATTACCCATGAGTTTGTTACCTTTTAAGTGCTTTAAGTATAGAAGAGGGAACAAACTCCCATGAATTCTCCCACATTATAAAGAGTATTTATTTCGAACATAAGTTAGAATTTGAGAAAATTCTGAAAATAAAAAGAATATTAAAAAAATTTCAAATATGTTTGTTTTTATTTCATAAGTTTTCCCACAAAAGTAATTAATTTGTTTGAAAATTGTTTAAATTGTTATTTGAATTATAATTAATTCCCCTCGAAATTAAATTAAATTAAATTGCAATTTAACACTGTTATCGCTTGGAATCATATTACGCAGTTATTAAATTTCAAGTTTATATTACAATTTTTAAATTTAAACTTTGATACGGAGGAGATTCCATCGCCAGTTTGATTTAAATACATTTCATTGAGTGTTTGGTGCTTTTTTTGATGGTCTGTAGAATGCGTCACATCATGTAATATTTGTTTTTACATGTCAATTTTCATTTTGTTTCTTATTCGTTAATTAAACAATTGTTGCAGCTTTTTGTTTGGTTTATTTAAATTATTGTTATAAATTTTAAACTGTTGGAGGTTTTTCATTTGTTTATTTAATCTAATCACAAGTTGATCATACATAAAGCATGTTTGTTTGTTTGTTTGTTTGTTTGGTTATCAACTAAATGCAGAAAATACTAGAGAAATTAGTTAGATAGAATATTGGATTTTAAACTAAAAATTTGGACTTTTGTAGAAGATCAAAGGTCGTTATTTGCATTTCCCTGAGTCCTGAATGAGGTTTTAGGTATTTTTTTTTTTTTCAAATAAAGTAAAAATTTGTTGTTTGTTTTGTTAGTAGGTATGTAAGTGTGTTGTTTTAAACGCCTAGTGACACGTTATTTTTTTTTTTTTTTTTTTTTGTCGATTTTGTTAGATACACTTTTTTCCTTCTATTTTATTCCATTCGTTTTTATTATTATTTAGCATTATTACTTTTTATTTGTTTGTTATGAATCATATTTTTTTCATTCTGCTAACAGATAATGATGTCATACATACAGCAACAATAATAAAAACCACAATGGAAACTACATGTAGCTGAAAATATATTAAAAATTTTCAATGGATGACTTTCATATAATTAAATAGTTCAGTAACTAATTGATTTTCCTTTAATCCCTTAAATTTTTTAATTAATTCATGTTTTCTTTTATGATTAATTTGATTTCGTTATTTCTAAAGAATTTACTTATAAATCTGTCTCTTTTTCATTCATATACATACCGGCTTTTTTTGTTTATTGCATTTTATTTTTTGTTAAATACATTTAACAAAATTGTGAGTCATATGATTGTGAATTTATTTATTTCTCTATATTTAGAAATGTTTCATTTCATTTTGTTTATTGCTTTATATATACATATTTCGTTTTTTGAAAGGTATTTTTCTTTTAAAATGTTTCTTAAGTTTTTTCTTTTTCTTGGTTTTGGTACATCTTTTAAAGCTTCACTTGTTATTGAGTTAACTTGGCTGGCTGCTAAGAAAAAAACGTCTTAAAATGTTCATCGAGTACATTTACTTCTGTTACCAAGAGCGTGTTACTTGGCTTTTTTTGTATTTTCTTTCTTAACAATTTCCTTAAAGTTATTTTCTTACTTTTTTTAGTTATTTCTCTAGTCGTCATGTCTAAAGTACGAAAAAATTGTTTTTACTGGCAATTTCTAATGATTTACCTAAACACTTGAAATTAAAAAGTAGTAGGGGATTATTCATTATTATGTTTTTTCAAGAAGTTTTTAAAGTATTAACTGGTCTGTTAGTTTTTAAACCTGAAGGTTAAAGATTTATTTATAATTTATTATAGTTGCTCGACTTTATCTTAAATGTGAATATATTTTAGAAAATTTAAATTAAAATTTTCTAATTTTATTATTTTCTAATTTCATTTTTTTAATATTTTTAATGAAAAATCGAATTTTATTTTGGTAATTCTTCTTGTGTGAATTTTGAAATGTCGAGATTTGAGTGAAATTTTGAAATTTGAGCGAATTTTCAAATTTTGATAAAATTTTGTATTTTTATTGAACTTTCAATTTTAGTGAATTTCAATGTGATTTCTTGTACAATTTTCAATTGTTAGTGAAATTTCGAATTCTTAGTAAAATTTTTAATTTATAGCAAAATTTTAGAATTTTTTTATAAAATTTTGAACTTCAATAAAATTTCGAAATTTTGGTGAAACTTCAAAATTCTAGTAAAATTTTCATCGATTTAAATTTTAACCCCCTTATTCACAAACAAAATTTTTATTTTATAAACAGTTTATAAATTAAATTTTGTATGGAAATTTTGTTTTATAAACCATTTATAAAATAAAAATGTTGTTTATGAATAAGGGGGTAAATGTTTAATGAAATTTAGAATTTTTAATGAAATTTTGTAAATTCACTGAAATTTATAATTTGAGTGAAATTTCGAATTTTTAGCGAATTGTAAAATTTTTATGAAATTTAGATTATTTTTGCAAAATATCGCAATTTTACTGATAATTTGAAATTTTTGTGAAATTTGTATTGTAGTGAAATTTCAAAATATAATTTTTTAGTGAAATTTTGTATTTTAAGTAAAATTTTAGTGAAAATTAAAATATGGAAATTTTGTTTTATAAACCATTTATAAAATAAAAATGTTGTTTATGAATAAGGGGCTAAATGTTTAATGAAATTTAGAATTTTTAATGAAATTTTGTAAATTCACTGAAATTTATAATTTGAGTGAAATTTCGAATTTTTAGCGAATTGTAAAATTTTTATGAAATTTAGATTATTTTTGCAAAATATAATTTGAGTGAAATTTCGAATTTTTAGCGAATTGTAAAATTTTTATGAAATTTAGATTATTTTTGCAAAATATCGCAATTTTACTGATAATTTGAAATTTTTGTGAAATTTGTATTGTAGTGAAATTTCAAAATATAATTTTTTAGTGAAATTTTGTATTTTAAGTAAAATTTTAGTGAAAATTAAAATTTTTTATAAAAGTTCGATTTTTTTCGAATTGTTATTGTTAACGTATACTGATTTTTCTAATTTTTAATGAAATATTGTAATTTAGTGAAATTTGGAAAGTTTAGTCAAACTTTTTTCTGAAACTTCGAATTTATATAAAATTTTAAATTTCTAGTAAAATTTTAAAGCTTTTGTTAAACTGTTTATGTAAAGAGGAAACAATTTTTAATAAAAAAGCTTTTAACTGAATGAAATTTTGAGTGAAATTTTGAAATTTAGTGAAACTTTTTTCTTTGAATTTGTATACAATTTTTGTAAAATTTCAAATCTCTAATGAAATGTTAAAGCTTTTGTTAAGCGGTTTATATGAAACAGAAATCATTTTTAATGGAAAAGCTTTTACTTAATGAAATTTTGAATCAAATTCGAAATTTTAGTGAAACTTTGAATTTGTGAAATATTTTTGCGAAATTTCAATTTTCTAGTGAAATTTTAAAGCTTTTGTTAAGTTGTTTATATGAAGGAGAAATAATTTTTAATGGAAAAGCTTTTAACTTATGAAATTTTGAGTAAAATTTCGAAATTTTAGTGAAACCTTTTTCTAAAACATCGAATTTGTATAAAATTTTTAATTTATGATATTTCAAATTTCTAGTGAAATTTTAAAGCTTCTGTTAAGCTTTTTATATGTAACCGAAATAATTTTTAATGGAAAAGCTTTTAACTTAATTTTGATCTTCAAAGCTTTTTTTTAAATTTGTGTTTCTTAAGATTTTTCGAAAAAAAAGTTTTTCTAAAAATTTTGGAAAAGAAGATTCTCTAACAAGTTCTAAGATCAAATTTTGGAATATTACAAAATTTTCCTAAGTAAGTAGAGAATTATTTTTAAAATTTACTAGATTTTATGTAAAAAAAAACTCCTTGTAAAAGTTAAGACTCCAACTTTGTACACCAAAAAAAAAAAAAAAATCAATTATCTTCAAAGAAAGATATTTATTAAATCTGTTTGATTTAAATGAAATTTTCTTGCTCAACATTTTCCATTTGTTCTTAATTTAATTGTTGGCCAGCCAACAAGTCTTGTCTCTTGTCTTGTGTTTTATATTCTTTTCTTCGTTCATTATAGTATTCTGTGCTATGTGCCGTCATCAATATTATTGAAAATCTTATTTAAAATAATTTTTCTTTCGTTTTTTTTTTCGTATGCGCTCCAATTGGAATATTTCACATGTTGTTGTAGTAGTTGTTGCATTGCTTTGCTTTTCTTTTCATTGTCATTGACATGAATTGTTATTTTAGTAGTAAACTTAGTCTGTCCATCCATCCATACGTTTCATGTATTTTTTTGATTTTTTTTCTTGTACTTAAGTTTTGGTTGATGCTACAGCTAGCATTACTGGTGCTCTGTTGTCTGTAGCCCGTGAGCACATTTCATTTTATCAATGCCAAATTGTTAAGTCCTAAAAAAAAAACTTAAGTTTGGAATTTGTCTTGTATCTTTTGGGTTTTTCAATTAGTTTATATGAACATGTTTAAGAACCTCTTGTTTAGTTTTTTTTCCTTTTTTTGGATTTTCCACTTGGCATGTGGTGTATTTTGTGGTAACAAAAAAATAATTTTCTTTTTTTTATTGATTATGTTCGATTTTATTTTTAAGCAGGAAAAAAAATTGTCATTTAAAATAGTACAAAATGCTTAACAAATTACACTAGGGCTTGGTTGCTTTAGCTGTCTTGTCTAGTTATTCCATTTATCTTACATTTTTAGTTCTTTGTGACATTTATCGTTGGTTTTATTTTTATAACAATAAAAAGAAAATTAACAAACGGTAATTAAAGTTGCTTTTGCACTTTATTTTTGTTGAAAATTAAAGGAAAGTAATTTTTTTTTAATATTAACACTTTTTAACCACGTTTTGTGAAAAACTGAGTAATTTTTTTAAATAATTTTAAATATTTTAATACATTTTTTGAAATATAAACAACGATTTCGTGCTGTTACAACTATTTGATAGTTACATGAATAGTTTTCATGTAATTTTATTTGAAATCTTTTATAAATCTACATTAAAAACCTTGTAAACAAGTGTAGTTTGTGAATATCTACATTTTTGGTTTCAATTAAAAAATATTTAGCCCTCAAAATCCATACATGTACGTTATATGACCAAATTTTATTACGAGTTTATTAATTCTAATTTTTGCTGAAAGTTACAATTTGGTGAAACATAGAATTTATGTGAAATTTCCAATTTTTAGTGAAACTTTGTATGTTGCGTAAAATTTTGAATTTTTAGTGAAATTTTTTCTTTATTTTATTTAAAATTTTTAGCGATTTTCTTATAGAATTTTTATTACAAAATTTAGATTGTTTTATGAAAAATTGAGTTTTATATAAAGGGGACTGTCACATAATTCCATTCCGCTAGAGAGTATTACTTATTAAATAAATTGATTAAAAAAGAATCATTTTAAACAAATTTTTCTTAAAAGTTGTCGTTTTCTTTTTTTAGAGAAGAAAATTCTATAACAGACTCCTATAATTTGAAAAAGTAGCTTAACCAGTTTACAATAGAGACCGGTGAAGAACGGTAGTATATTACCAAGTCTAGAGAAAGTGTTGTGAAATTGCTTTTGAAGCTTAGGCTAGAAAATCTAAGTCCATTTGTTAATACCTTTAAACCATTCCAACAAAATCCATTTACAAAAAACGATTTAATATGTTTTTATCTCTTTACAAAGTCTAAATAAAAGCAGCAACAGTGTTTTTGTTACAATGAGAATTCATCAACCAGCGTAAAGAGTATTTTGTAAAATTTAGAAAAATCCTTAAGCGCATGTTCCACAATCACTAATACAAAAAAAAAAACGACAACCCTTAATTACAAAAATTCACCACTAGTCAGCACAATTTTGGAACAGAAAATAATCAATAACTTGGAGACTTTATTTTGTATTTCAAACGAAATGTTATTTCGTGTTTGGCAATATCACATAAGGGTCAGGGGTAACCTTAAATATACTGACTAATCTCTAGGCTTTTCAAACAAAGTCTTTGAACTGTCTTTGTTTAGGCATGTTGTTAAACAAAGTTTTTTTTTGCAACTCATAGTTTTTTGCGACATAAAGTCTCCATATGCCTCCATATATACGCTCTTTTAATGCGGATTTAAGCTCTGCGCATTATTTAGGTTGACTGAGGTTTACTATAGGTTTCCTTGTCTAACAATCAGGAAATTCAATCACAATTACGAAAGGACTTCTTCTAGTGTAAGTGTACTTTGGCAAGTGTACTCGTTGTAGTGTTTTAGTAATACTCGTTTCGATTTTAGTTAGTTTTTCGATGTGTTAACGTGATAAACGTAATATTGTTACAATATACTTGGCCATAACAAATAAATAATTATTTTTGCAATCATTTAATATAAATAAAAAAAGTAGAAGCAGAAAAAGAGTTTTAAAAAGAAATTAAAGTTTTTTTATTTATAAGAAGTAATAAAAACAAATTTGATTAATTTGATTTTATAAACAAAAAAATAATTGTCAAAAGAAAAATTAAGCTTTTGTTTTTATATATTGACGGAAATTTCGGTAATTAGCACATTTAAAAAAAAACGCTGACGCCGTTAGTAAACAATTTGCAAAATCAAAAAATTATTTACAAAAAATTTTCTTAAAAAACTAAAGATTTTGGAAGTGAAAAGAAAAAAAGTAATTAAACTATAAAATTAAATAAACAAATAATAAAAAAAAAAACTTAATAAAAAATGGATACAGTTGGAGAACAACCTGCACAAAATGGTGTTTACAAAAAACGTCCTTTTATATGTTCCTTATTAGATCCCAGTAAGTGTCTTTATATTAAACATAAATAAACTATGTATTTAGTTTTCTTTTAAAAAGTAGTAAGCAATTGGTGTGGTAATTTAACTAATAATTAATTTGTATGTATATTAACCTAACAACTATACTCTGCATTTGTTTTTAACTAACCTCCTAAAAGTATGCTTTATATTTATGGTTTTATTAGTTCTTTTCTTTGCCTTAAAAACATCTGTTTTTTTAAATCATTGCATCATTTTTTTTGTATTTTCTTGACTAATCATGCTTTTTTCTCTTAACACCTCTTTACCTTAAAAATAATCAATATTTACTAATTTCAGACGCATGGTTTAAGCCGGAACGCTTACATCCACGAGGTAAGTTAATAAATTCTATGTTATACTCTCTCCATCTCTTTTGTTGCCATATTTTTGGCTTGTCTATAATCCAAGAATTTTAAAACAAGAAAACGCCTGTAAATTTTTGCAATGGACAATAAAACAAAACCCCAGCTAGACTCAGTGTCTATGCCCTAATACTTTTATATTAATTTTGCTTATAATTTTTTTTTTTGCCTATAACTATGCTTACACTTTTTAAAAACTATTTTTGCACAAGTACATATATTGTACAGACACGTATGTAGGTATGTATATATTGTAAATTACCTCTACATGTATGACTTTAAAGCTATTATATATCTATTATCCTTTAGTTCAATGACCACTTGTATATAGTTTTTTTTACGGTTTATAATTTGTACACCATTTCCTTTTACTAAAGATCAACTTTGGTAGGTAGAAAAAATATACTTCAGAAGCAATTTCTAACCCTAGGGAAATGGTGTCTATGTATATATTTAGTATTTCACCAAACCTTATGTCCTTATTAAACTTGTTTAGCTTTTTCTCTTACACCTAACCAAACAGTTCTATATAAAAAGCATTGTTTTAAAAAAAATTGTTTAAAAGAAAATCAATAGTAATTGTTTTTTCTTACTTACTGCTGGCTAACACGTCTGCTATTACGCTCTATATGTATATGGTATTTATATGCTAATTTTCTACACACACATACATATATTCTTTTCTTTTACAATTATATTTTAAAACGCAATTATTTTGCAAAACATGCAATTATTGAAAAGAATTTAAAATTCTATGAAGGTGTATAACATAAAGTACAGTTGTTGGTTTTTTTTGTACATTAACTGTATTAACAACACCATCTCATATTACAAAAAAAAAAAAACATTTCTTTTTTTTTTTTGTGTAAATGTCGTTTTAATGCTTCGTTACATTTCTGAAATGCCATTCATTATTTGCAAAATGACGTCAGTTTTCTCAGCCGAATTTTATTGATGTTTACTGAAAGGAAACACACGAGCAATGTTGCGTTTTTTGCAATCCTTAAATTATGCTATAAATTTTATGTTTTTCTTTTTTTCTTACAATTCAATTCAATGTATTGAGTTTATTATCTGTAAGTGTTTTTATTTTTTTGGCTTTTTGCCAATGTAAAAATTGTTTACGTGGTAATTTTTGTATATACGTCTAGAGAGTCACAATAATGCTTAAGAAACTCATGTCACTTGTAAAACAAGAGACTCATCGATTTAACTTTTATGCTAAGGATATATTTTTCTCATAAAAGATGATGTTAATATGAGTTTTTACTAAAACAATATAAATGAACTGGTATATGGACTAGACTATAGACTAGTCAATGGTCCAAACTATTGATAATTCTCTGGTATAACCTAGGAACTAGACTATTGACTAATCTAATGTATAGTCTAGTAGTGTATGGAGTAGTCAAGGGACTATGTCTATTGACCAGTATATGAACTAATCTATGGGCTAGTATATTGACGGATTTATGGGCAAGTCTATTGATTGATCTATGGGCTAGTCTATGGACCAGTCTATGGAACAGTCTATTGACTAATCTATGGAATTGTCTATTAACTAGTTTAAGCATTAGTCTATGAACTAGAATTTGGTATTTGGATTTCTCTGGACTAGTCTAATCCGTGGTTTAGGCTACGTACTGTACTATTGACTATGGATTAGTCTATTAACTATTTTATGGAACTCAAGTCCATAGACTGCTCAATAGCAGTCTATGGACTTGTCTATTGACTAGTACATGGACTAGGCTATCGACTAGTCTATGGACTAGTCTATTGACAAGTTTATGGACCAGTCTATTGGCTTGTCTATAGAAGATTCTATTCACTAAACTATGAACTAGTTTATACACTAGTCTAAGAACTTGTCTATTGACTAGTCTATAGACTAGTTTCTGAACTGTTTTATTGACTATTTCCTAGTCTATTGACTACTCTATGGACTAGACTTTAGACTAGTTTATTGACTAGTCTGTGGACTAAGCTGTGGTCTACTTAGCAAACGTTTATAATAGTCTAGGACTATTCTATTGAGCAGTCTATGGACTAGTATATTGAAGAGTCTATTAACCAATCTATTGACTAGTATATGGACTAGTACTTGGACCAGACTGTTGACTTGGATATATAAGAGTCTATTAACGAAACTATGGACTAGTTTATACACTAGTCTAGAAACTTGTCTATTGACTAGTCTATAGACAAGTTTATTAACTATTTTATTTTTCAGTGTATTTACTAGTCTATAGACTAGTATATACTCCACTGTGAAGACTAGACTGTGGGCTGGGCTGGTTTGACTAGTCTACAGTCTACTCTATTGACCAAACTATGGTCCATTTAGCAAAAGTTTATAAGATTAGAAAATTACCTACAATTATCGTAGGGTGTAGTATTGCTTTTTCGCAATTTCAAATTCAGCTTGGAAAACAATAGTCTACTTTTAGGTTGTCTTTCTTCAACAATTAAATAGAAAATAAAAATAAACCAGACTCTAGCATTTGTATAATTTTGTTTTCAATTTTGAAAAATGTATTTTTTAACAGCAAATAACAATAATAAAAACCTAAAATTAAAGGTCACAAACACGCTTCATATTACTTTTTTCATAAAGCCAACGAAATATTTTTGGGCAAACAAATAGTCACTATAATTAATGAGTCTTCATGTTATAATTACTAATGCGGAAAATTAAAACCATAGTTACTTGAAAAAAAAAAAAAACAAATCCATTTAGATATCCAAAACCTGGCTGACAACAAGAAACAAACAAGTCAAAATAGATTTATTAGCGCTACAAAAATACATAGTTTCATATGAAGACACCTACAGTGTTAGCAAAAACATGCAACAATTACCGGCCGGTTTTTTTTTTGTTTCTCTACAATAGAAGGTGTTTATAAATATTAATTATGAAGAAAACAAAAAAAATCAGTTTTTAAATACAGCAAGCAAAATTGTATTGTATTTTAATTTAAGATTTGTTTTCTCTCTTTACACTTATTTTTTCATAACGCTAATTTATTTCATTGACTGACTGTACTAATGGGAATATTATTAGCAAATATTTGCTTTTTGCCCAGCTTTATCAGTAGCAGTGTAGTAGTAAAGACAGGATATTAAAAGAATTAATACTTTTACATTCAAAATTTTTGAAAATTTTCCAAAAAAGGTAGCATTTATAACTGTTAGAGGGAATATACAAAATTATTTAAAATTTTCGAAATCTCGTGATTAGTTTTTGTTAAAATATTTAACACTTTTACTTACTGTTAAAAAAATCTGTTTGACAGTACTGTATTATTGTTTGTTTATATTGCAATTCATTGAAATATCTAAACTAATTTGCAGGTTTTTGTGAATATAGCAATATTTTTTAAGATTTTTACCTATACCTTTGCAAAATTTTGCTTGTCACTTATTGTATTATATTCATTAGCAAAAAAAAGTATAGTATAAAAGATGTGAAAATTTTTGCAAATAATATTTTTTGAAAATAATATAAAAAACGATATTATGTATGTTATAAAAAAAATTGTTTACTTTTATTTTTTATATTCACTTCTACAAATATTAAACATGATAACAAGCTAAAAATATAAATTTATTTATCGCTTTACTTGTTTTTTTATTAAAAACGTAATTTTTTTATTTGTTATTGTTTTGGCTGCCGGCATTTGCCAATTTAAATATTAAAATATAAATTTTTTTTGAAACCAACGATTTGGAATTATCATGTATGGTATTTGTAATTAAATGCTAAATATACATATGTTTTATCATTAAAAATTACATTTTTGTTGAGAATTAAATTTGAATTTTAATAGAAATTAAAATTTTGGATTTTATATTTTTAGAAAAATTTCAGATTTTTGGTTTTTTTTACAGAAAATTTGGTTATTTTTTATGAAATTTCGAATTTTTAATTAGTATTTGTTTGATTTTTTCAATAAAAATTTTATCATTTTAGATACATATATTGGTCACGTAGCTATATAGCTATTTTTCTTTGAGCAAAACGCTATCGTTTTGAACGTATTCAAAATATTTCAACAGAAATCTGAGAAAATTACCCCTATTGGCCAAAAAGATTCTAAATTTACCATAAAATTTTAATAACCTTCAAAGGGGAAATTGCTATAGCGATACTATTTCCGTTCAATGTCATTCACAATAGTTAATTTGGTTCCAAATATAAATCCACTTTAAAATAATCGAATAATCGATTTTTTGTCGGAAAAAGTCGAAGTCCAATTTTTTGTCCTAACAAAGTCGAAAAGTCGACTATTTTGTAAGGAAAAAGTTGAAGAATCGATTTTGCAAATAAAATGCGAAAAAAACGAAAAGTTGGTAGAAAAGTCGAAAATAGTCGGAAAAAGTCGAAAAATGCAAATATTTATTTCTTTTCGAAAAATCGAAAAAAGTTGAAAAATTTAAATATGTATGTCCTTCGAAAAGTCAACTTTTCATATATCGCAAAAAGTCGACATTTTGTTTCAACTGTTGAACCCTACCCAAGAGTTTATTGTTTACAAAATTTCATTAAAAAATTTCAAAACAAGGGATATTTTTTGACATGAAAACCATTACAGAAAGTTGATCGAGCTATCTCTTTTAAGAACTAATCTATTGTCATGCTATTTTTTCACCGAAAACCTCCTCTGTGTCTTAAAGGATGACGAAAAATACACGAAATAAAAATTTCCAAAACGTTATTTAATGTAATAAAAAATCCACTTATTTCCTCAAATTAATTGGATTCTTTAAATCCATTGGAAATTAATTTTTATTCCCTACTATCGCCAATAGAAATGAAATTTTTGTTCATTTGAAAAGAGTTATCGTGAACTTGCTATTGTTAACAATTCATTCACAATAGTTGATTTTATATACAACAGCTGTTCATTGTTTACAAAATTCCATCAAAAATTTTCACGTCAAAAAGTTAGTGGACGAAAAAAAAAGTGA